GGACAGATCCCATGGTCAGCTGGTACTGGGGAATGGCAATCTTCACCATAAGCCACAGTAAAGCCTTCTCTCAGCTCTCCAAATGCTGAGAGCCAAGGGAGACTTGGCCTAAGGTCCCACCTCTGTCAGCACATCTCACAGAGACTTCCAGCCAGGCCGCCATTCACCTGTTGAATGTTACATGAAGCTACAGTCACCAAAAGTGTCTCCTTCAACGATGTATCTACACTACTTGTGTAAGTGCTGTAGATGTGTTTTCCAAGCACCAAAGATGTCAAACACCACTCACTGCAATCTGTTATACACTGTGTTAGAGTTTAAATTCTAAAGCACTTGGTTTGTGGAAGGAAGGTTGTGATCTACAGTGGGAGCCCTAACTCCATTTGGGGTCTTGACATAAGTTCAGATACCATTTGAGTTCTTCCTGATCAAGGAATGTGCCTATGCTTAGACATGTCTGGGACAAACCTAGGGAGGGGCAGTTTGCCCTCAGGGAACTTGCCAGGGTGTGTATTTAATTATTTACTGAAAATAGCTGCATGCTATCTAATTTAAAGGAGCTCTGCTAGGGTAATGCCTAAGGCACTTTACTGTTAACCACAAGCCTGGCGGTTCACACCCATCAGCAACTCCTTGGAAGGAAGATGGGGCAATCTACATCCGTAGTGATACCGCCTCAGAAACCCAAGGAGGGGTTGCTTTGAGTCGGGTCCAACTCGACAGCACATAACAACAACAATCTAATATAAAGGTTAAACCAAACACTGCCATCAAGTCAAGCCCTGACTCACAGTGACCCTATAGGACAGAGTAGAACTACCCCATAGGGTTTCCAAGGCTGTAAATTTTTATGGAAGCAGACTGTCTCATCTTTCTCCTATGGAGCAAATGTTGGCTTCAAAGCACCAACCTTTTGGTTAGCAGCTGAATGCCTTAACCACTGTGTTACCACAGCTCCTAGTTACAGGTTGGGGTCCTGGTATTGTCTTGCAGACACCTTGTAGCTATGATTCAGGGCAGCATGTTGGTCAAGCCCCAGAATTAATCCTGTAATCCTTTTGAATCTGCACTTATATACATAACCCAATCACGGTCCTCTTCCCAATTCTGCAGTCCTTCCCATGACAGTGATGAACTGACCTTCCACCAGTTGTGAATTTGTGATGATTTCCTTTGTTTTCTGTTATATATATGATTCAGTGGACTCCATTCAGCTTTCTACACTGTGTACAGGTTGATAGTGTCCCTCATTCTGATGACTGTCTTTGTCTTGTTTAAGGCTTAATAAAAGGGTCTCTACAGAACATGTTTGACTCTGGGGTCTTTTATCTCCTAGCACAACATTCGTTCTCATCCTGTGAATGCTGTCGTTTGGGTGCTGTCAAGTCCGTTCTGCCTCATAGAGACCCATGAGAAACATTAGAACTACCCCCAAAGTGTTGTCCTGGCTGTAGTATTTATGGAGGCAGACCACCAGATCTTTCTCTTGTGGAGTCCCTGGCTGGGCTTGAACCACCTTAGCAGCCAAGCACTCAACTGTTGGTGCCACCAGGGCCCCCATGAATGCTAACACCCACTTTATTGTGTGCCTATAGCATGGCAAGGGGACAGTGGTGGTTCAGTGGTAAAATTCTCCTCTTCTATGCAGTAGACCTGAGTTGATTCCTGGCCAGTAACTTCATGCACGGCCACCACCCATTGCTATGATGCTGTGCAAGGACTTTTAAAACAAAACAAAAATAAATAAAAACCTAAACTCACTGCCATTGAGTCAATTCTGACTCATAGTGACCTCCACTGGGTTTCCGAGGTGGTAAATCTTTATGGAAGTAGATTGCCCCATCTTCCTTCCTCAGAGTGGTTGGTGGGTTTGAAGCTCTAAACTTCTGGTTAGCAGTCAAATGTCTTATGGCACTACGCCACTAGATCTCCTTTTTAAGACCTTTAAAGACTCGGGTCTGGTAAATACGAAACAATTGGCTTGAGGGTTGGGCCCAACCCCTTTAGTTAAGTTAAACTTTATATAAACTTAATCAGGTACAGTGCCTAAGGCATTTGACTGCAAACCAGGGGAAATGTTTTTCTGCAGTTAAGCCAAACAGAAAGTCTCTAGAATGCTCCCTGGGGGTCTTTGCTCAATTACCAAACCTTTGTGTAAGATGTCCTCAGGAAATAATTTTTCCTTAAGGCAGTTTTCTTAACAATCCACTATTGGAAAATCTGTTTTGTAACTCACTGTCCCTTTAACCAGATGGCTGACCTTTACATTTTAAAAGGCATTAAGCTGAAGCTGATCTGGTCTTCAATCATTGACCCTCCCTGAACTCAAAAACTCACTGTCATCAAGTCCATTCCAACTCAGAGACCCTCATTGGGTTTCCAAGGCTGTAAATCTTTATGAAAGCAAACCATCCCATCTTTCTTCCATGGAATGTCTGGTGAGTTAGAACCACTGACCTTTACAGGTTAAGCAGCCAAACGCCTTAACCACACCACCACCACAGCTGCTTCCTGTCTGCACAAACCCTTGCAATTACCACACCATAACCAATCATTTCAGGAAGTCCTGCCTCGCGATGACCTAAGTTTGTAACCACCAATCAAGTAGCGTACTTCAGGTTCCTCGTTTTGCTATAAGAATGTCTCTTCAGCTTTACCATTTTTCAGGATCTGATTTGATGCAGTGGAATTCAGTCTTCTTCCAGCTTAAGCTGTCCTCAATTTTCAATACATCTTTCTTTTTAATTTTAAGCAGATTTCTCATCATTACTCTATGATAACGCTGAACAGGTTTCAGCAGAGTTTTCAGACTAAGACAGACTAGGAAGAAAGGCCTGGCAATCTCCTAAAAATCAGCCATTGCAACCCCTGTGGTTCACAAGTGCCTGAGCGCATTGTGCATAAGGTCACCATACACTGGGCTGACTCCAGGGCTGCTCACAACAACCGCAAACAGCACGCCTGGCAGGCATTTTAACATATTGCATATTTGGTCTAAGAGGTAGGTTTGGAGAGTTCACTCTGTCCAAGCCTTAGTCAAGGAGCTTTGGTGGTGCAGTGCCTAAGGCATCTGAGTGCTAACCAGAATGCTGACGGTTCAAACCCACCAGCTGCTTTGTGGAAGGAAGATGGGGCAATCTACTTCTATAAAGGCTTACTGCCTCAGAAAGCCAGTGGAGTCACTATGAGGTAGCATTGACTCCATGGCAATGGGTTTGTTTTTTTTTTT